TCTCATGGTGGTGTTGCTAACCAGGTCACCAGAATAACATTTAGTACATAGGAGCAAATTGAAACGTACAAGAGATTTCCTGAAGTTGTTTGCCTGGATTCAACATACAACACTAACAGGGGGAACGTAAATAAAAATGTTCTGCTTATCAATTGTCTTTAGTTATAAACTCTTTCAGCTTGTTTCGACAGATAACTGCGGGCGTAGAGTGCCTATAATGTTCGCTTGGATAAAGGAAGAGAAGAAGGTAGATGTATTATAGATAATGGATTATTTCAAAATCATCATGAATAACACCAGTAAGACTGAAAAGTTTGTGATGGGTTGTGCAAGATCCATCATATCTGCTGTGGCAACAACTCATCGTACTGCCCACATAGCTTTATGCTCATTCCACGTGTGTAGATTTATGTGTAAGTAGACTCGCAATCCAATAATGAAACAGTGCTTGTTCCCACTTGTCCGTGAACAGTCAGTTGTAAAGTTTAATCAGATCCGACGAATAATTATTGTTCGTAGGATATCCGAGTAAGCAAGCAGTATAACTACAGTCTCATTAAATGCTTCAAATGGCGCTGAGAGTTCTCCACCGGCAGTCCAAGTCCATCTCACACATAGCTTCAAAACTGAATCAACTGTTTCATTATACGAAGATAAATATAACATAACTGTAAACTTTGGCATTTGTATATGAGTAAATGATCTGCATTACTACGGGTTCCAACCACTGGTATAACAACGTTCAACTGATCTTCATTTATTCTTCGGAACCAAAGATCATTTTTAAATATTTTTCATTACACGGAGGGTTGTGTATCATCTTTGACGACGCTATGACGTACCGGTTGATATCATACAGCAAACGAAACATGGCTTTGCAACCGGTAAACTTTGATCTATGAAAAGTAAGACTAATAATAGTCATTTTCTTTTACTCTATCACCATGACCCTCCGGTTTCTTTTTAGCGCCAAAACAACAAACATACACTATATACTGGTAGCGAATTTTCGGCTTTTCTATGTTCCACTTACTTTCAAGCACTACGTGATGAGTTCAACTCATCTTTACTTGTGTATAGTGTATTTTTATAACAAACCTTCTGCAACAGATCGATAGCTTGTCTAACTTGGTCCCAGCTTGTCAGGTGCTTGGGTCTCATAATGCTTTCGAAAACATCACTGGTATCTACAACTACTGGACACTCATTATTGGTTTGACTCGTTGATGGAGTAGGGTGATCCATAATACTGAAGAAAATAACAAACCAGAGACTTTTTCCTTTCATTCGGCCCGACAACATAATAAATGACAGGAACGAATATGCGGCACCAACACTTATTTAAGCTAAAGAAACTAACTTCGGCTTTCGATATCTGAAAATATACTCAAAACAAAACGGATTAACATTTTACAATATAAGACTAGGCAGTGTGTCTGAGGAATACATCGACTTGAGTGGCAGCAGCAAAAACCCAGGAAACAATGCTGAATCTAAGGAAATTCGCGCCAACATTTAGAATATTGCATTAACTGCGGCAAACATGCGCTCAAAGGGATATCCTCCTTATATCCCGGCAACGACATACGTGACGTCTCTTATTAAAAAACAACAATACAGAATATATTAGAACCAAACACCAAAACATATTTTGTAGAAAACGTCTGGTTGATTATTCTCTGTTCCTCCATTTCTTATCACAGTCACAGGTGTCAGAATATGTTTTTGCACATTAAAGTTCCACCCGAATAATTTTTAGATTTATTGGACTACTAAAAGTATTTTCTAGGAATGTTGGTCTGCCGTATGTTACGCTGACTTGCTTATTTCCCCAAAACTCTACGTAAGCAAAGAACCATTCGACACTCACTCATTCGGCGAAAAAATTGAACAATTGTCGCAATGAATTTCTGGCTCTATTAATTTGATATGAAGCCGCCGAAATGAAGCTCGGTAATAGCTGATGTACATGGATTAAAAGAGGGAAAGCCGACTCCAAAGTGGTCTGTTTTAAATAACGACTCAATAAATGTAGTTTCCTCTGTTCCCGGCCCTCTAAATGGTAGTTGGTATGAAACACCTGAAAATCCCAATCGCAAGGATATATCTGTTTGTAACAGGAGAAACAACCGGACTGCCCCATTCGTCGATAGCCTTCCAGAATCCCTCAGTTTGTTTTACGCGACTGTTGTTGCTACCACAACAAAAGTTGATGAATGAGTACAGGTGGAGAACAAGAAACGATGAAATAGCAATAAAGAAAATCTACCCTCAAAAGTATCCGAGAACTTCAGGACTGATCACAGGTACAGAATAGTCATCTGTGATAGAATCGACGAAAGTGAAACCCAGAACCTAAAACTTGTTTTGAGTTGATAAAACACCTATCGAATCAGCTTACACCTCAGGATATCTCCGGAGTTATCTTGCTAATGCTGTAAAGACTAAGTAGCCAAGTAAATTTGAGAAAGTATTTCTTAGATCTAGTGAATGGAACTTAATATTACAGAATAGACATTAACGAAAGGGTTCAGGAGGTTTTCACCGCAAGCCTTTCGCTCACAGATTACGTAAAAAGGCAAGAAGCCGAAAAAGAAATAAAACTTGATTAAGATACTGGCGAAAAGGACCTAGACACTAGAAAACTTTGGGTTGCGAGGCTTCGACAGAGAATAATGTCGAAGCCACTCAAATAGGCCTTGGGTCTGTTACACAAATGCCTGAAGCTTGCTCATTGAGCGATCGGAATAAGGTGTATAAATTGACTCTACCAATCATATGTCATTACAGTCACAGAAACGTGGTTGACGTAGCCTATAGATAGTATTTTGAAGCTTTTGCTTTAGTAAGAGCCAACAGGATCCTGAGCGTGAAGGGAGTGTAGCTCTGTTCTTTGGGAATGCTATCCTATTACCATCATAATAACATGTCACATGAGAGTGGGACGTCTGAATTAGTTAGTTGCCGCTTGAAATACAGTGGACAAGAGCTACTGACGGGTTTAGTCTATCACAGTCCAAGCCAGAAATTAAATGACGTCTTTCTAGGCGGTCTAAATACTTGATCACAACATTGTCCAAATCAGACCTGACGTCTGGAAAGCAAATCAACACGATATTGTGCACACAGCATCGTCAGTTGATTGGACGATGGAGCTGGGTCCCGATTGAAATAGCTTGGGATGCATTTCGAAACTGATTCTTAAAAGTTACTGCAACTCACATCTTGTGGACTACACCAAGAGGTCTAATTGACCCTTAACTATGGTTCAGTGGGGAGGTTCACATACATCTCAGTGAGAGGAGAGGAATGCGAGAATGATTTAAGCTACTGCGTACTGATGAGACAAATTTCGACATCGAGAAGCTCGGTATACTTGTGTATCGATCCTCTGAAATTCGAGAACGATATACGAAGAAAAAAGCTGTTAAGGAATTCATAGAATGCCTTAAATGCTCATATACTCGTATCTAAACCAATGAACAAGAAGAAGACGAAATATTCCATCACTATGTGATGACAGTAACCCTTCATCATTAGTAGAGGACGACTATTGTAAAGCTCAAGTATTCTCAAACTACTTTAGCAATGTATATACCGTAGAAATATCCTCCTGTCAGTTCACACAAAACCCAACTACGCACAGTGGACAACGTGATCAATAAAAAACCCGGTGTCTTTCGCCCTATAAATAAGGTTGATATACAAATTCACGGGACAAGATGAATTGCATTCTAGGATATTAAAGGAATTAGCTAACTTCGTTGCGAACTCCTTACGCATATGTTTGATACATACGTAACCCAGGGTCGATTACCAAAAGACTGGAAGAACGCCATAGTGAGTCCTGTCTTCAAAACAGGTACGAAACGTAAGCCTAAGTTCTACTGAGCCGTTAGCCCAACGAGTGTGGCTGTTAAAATTTTAGAAAAGATTATTTGGAAGGAGCTGTTTAAGTATAACGATGAAGACCGGAGGCTTTCGGAAAATCAGCATGATTTAGGATAGATTATTTCTTTTTCACTAACTTGTTAGTGGCTTGTGAAGCTGCTGCGTTCTTAAATACCAAAAGTTACGTATGTACGTAGCCTACATTGACTCCAGCAAAGCTTTTAATAAAGTTCCCTAAAACCAGCTGCTATATAAGTTAGGAATATAGAATTTGGTGGCAGTTTTGTCGCCAGTGTTATTTCTCTGGTATGTAAATGACCATCCTCGTCTCCTATTATCATTGGCCTCGCTGTTTGCCGACGATGTTAAGATATAGAGGGCGGTAAGAAGTAAAGATGATAGCTAAGAATTTCAAGATAACCTAGAGAATCTCTCTGAATAGTATCATACTTGGCAGTTGCCGATAAATACTTCCAAGTGTATTGTGGTGCATATTGGTCATAAAGGTATAGATACATACCTAAATATATAGCTTCTGCTTAAAATAAACAATAAGCTTTCGGAAAAGGTCCAAAGAATGGCAACTTATCTAATTCACAGAATAGCGAAGCTCCCGCAACATGTTCGACTAGCCGAAGGCAACGTAATGCGATTGTAATATCGAAAAACTGGAGATGACTTGACTACGGTTTTCAGCTTACCTAGTGAAAATTTGCGTCTGATGTGCTCTCTACCTTTTGTCTTCCAAGACAGAGAATTTACGAGGACACTCCAAAAATGTTCACATACTCAGAACAAAATGCCTGTCACTGGACTCTCGAATTTTTCATCGAATCATCAACGAGTAGAACTTATTGATCCATCACTTGGTTGGAGCTCTATCTGTCGACTATTTTAAAAGAAAGTTGGATCAATTGATAGACCATCGTTGCTAGGACTAGCACAAACCATTTAGCCTCAGGTCCTTTAAAAAATGAAACTGAATTAATGCATTTGAGTGATCAGACTACCATTCATTAGGAACAAACAGATATTTTGATCATTGCTAAGACAATAAGAAGCGATCGCAAGGAATACAATCTAGTCACAAAGCCATTGTAATTGAGTATATGTTGAATATTGGACTTGACCTTAGTTTTTGGCGGCTTTTCTGTCGCTGTTCTCTTTATTTGGTGAGCTTTTATCCTGCTTGGTTTCTAAGCTGTTCAGGATATTTCCCAAGGAGTAAGTTACTGGATAATGTTCGAAGTGTTTGTTTAGTAGAAGTCTAGTTGTTGGACTTTCTATTTATACAGAACAATGTTTTACATCATATCGATGAACATTTTTATTAACGTAAATAAAATGACGTATGTCATAACGTGACCAAAATTTCTTAACAAGTAGTTTCGTTTGGAGTACGGTATACTGACATCCTTGGGCTAATTAACCGAAACTAAGATGGCCCCTTAATTCTATTATTAATCAAGTGAAAATTAGCTACATTATGGTCTTAAAATGTTCGAAATAAATGAAAATGAACAACGCACAACAGTAAAGTAAATTTTTGTTGATGCTTAGGCTATAAAGCATGGCGTGCCCGCTCCCAAGTCGGAATGTTCAAGTGATTAGTGTCATCCATCGCGTAATCTATAGTATTTAGTGAAGCTAGATAATTTCCCCATTTTTAATCTCACTCCTGATCTCAAACCAGAGTTTTTCAGGTTTGTAGACAGGAAGGTGGCATGACATTGGATCATAGCTGGTGTCAATATCTTTTTGACTAACCTGACCCACCTCAAAACTCGAACACTCAATACGTAACGCTAACATTTTTGCATTTTAACTGATATCAGTTGGCTGCCAAAACCTATATAGTGATCACCCTTACTCAGAATACTTTCCAAGCTCCTAGGTTGCACGTATATACTTTGACTTCCTTTTTTTACTAGACGGGGTAATTTGACTTGCAAGATTTAATTATTACGATCAAGGCTGTCATTCCGTTGTTGTTTCATTACTACATATTGTTAATTGTTTTAAGCTTGTTAGAGTTTCCTGATTGTCCGATTATTCTCTCAAAGTCGTCAGTACTGTATTTTCTTTCTTAATGGGCGGCCACTTTGACTGTTGTGAAAACTCCATCCATTCAATTTAATGAAACCACTTATGTTGGATAACATAATTACGTCTTAAAGTATGTTCGGGGGAGTTACTTCTAAATGTCTGGTCAGATTTAATTGTCTTAAACATATCCTTAATTATACAGTCACATTATTTACATATGAATACATAATAACAAGGATCTTTGTTATTTGGGTCCTACTTATCTACTGGACGCGACAATTAACCTAAAATTTCCATTTTATCAGCTCATCAAGCTGAATAAGTCACAAGTTATTAATCAAATATATTACGTACACGTGTTATTCACTTGTATTTTTCATGCTTATCATGTCTTAAGATTCATTAATCGTTTGCTATTGGTACAGGTTTACAAACGTAGCTTCAAGTATAGTGAAGTAAATGCACACACTAAAATTTACAGCCAGGCTTTTTGTTGTATCTGCATTGTTGGTAACAGTCCGAGAGTTTAATCCTCTGGAAACAATTTTTGTATCAAAGAAATACTTATAGTGCAAATTAGCCCAACAACCGTAGCATTAAAATTAATGGCTTGTGAATAATTACGCACCGTTAGTGTCTCCTTAGTTCCCTTTCAGTGTCGGTCTCAATCTTAGTCTCCTAACTCAACGTGTTTTGGTTCTTATAAACAAATATGGGAAACTAAACTCATATTTTTTATGTACATTTTCCCTATGTTAAGTTCTTCAAGAAATAAGTGTTGATTATTTTTGTTCAGTTAAAGTAGCACACAATTTAATTGTTGATTTGTTATATGGTGAGATTAATTTCACTTTTTTGAGCAATATAAACAACGCTGATCTTTATTTGGTGGTCAGTTGTCGTTAGATTGAATCATTTCATTAAACAGAGTTTACAGGTTTTAAAAATCTTAGTTCTTCCCGCTAATCTCTAGTGTCTTTTTTTAAACACGAAAAGTTCTTGATTAAGATGCAAAACTCTTTATCATGTAGGTACATGTGAAAGTCAACAAGTCTTCCATATGGTGAGTCATTTGAAAACAGTGGGATTGTCTCATGAATCAATATCTTCATTATGACCAGTATACCCTTTCATCTCAAGAAGTTGAAGTAGGATAGTTTGTCTTGTTTTGTATTTATCAACTATTTCTTATCTTCGAATAGGTCCAGTTAGATATACTTAATAAAACATCTACACAGATTAATGATTTAGAAAGACGTTTGGAAGTAAGTGGAATACTCGTTTTTTTCATTCATGCATATTTTCATTTAGATTTCTCGTGATGTTTATCGTAAAGTTTTATCAGATCAGTCAGATAAATTGCAGAAATTAAGTAAAAAACTTGGTAAATGTATAATACGTACTCGACCATACAATGAATTGAAACAAAAGCAAGCGCATTATCGTAAAGAAATTCAAATGGCTGCTTTGAAGTATGAAAACGCCATATCGACCTTAAGTGCAGCTCGTGACACTCTGGCTAAATTGGAAGCATGTGTTTCAGAGCCTGGTGTTAGAGATCCAAACCTGTTGGAGTCTCTAAATCAAAGTATTACGGATGTGAGCCTCTTTTATTTTTACTGTGGTACGATTTTGTTATTTTATTCAAATGGTTTAAGCTATACAGAAAAGATACGTGTGATAAAATTGAAATCAGATGTGAATTACCTCAAGATTTCTGTGTTTTGTTTTTCTTATAAGTATTCTATATACCGGGCAAATTTTTCAGCAAAGTAAAACCTTTTAAATGTAATGGGTTCGTTTGAAAGTAACTAACCAGTTTTATTCAGACGCACTATAGATACACCAATTTTTATTTAGGTTGCCAAAGTGTAGTCTACCGAGGTTCGCTTAGTTGTGTTATCAGCAGTGTTTAATCATAATCGTAGACCTATGTCATGCCTATGTACATAGTCGTTTTTATTATATTACACAGATTACTAAAAGTTTAAAATGAATTGATATGTTGATTAATGGGTGGTCTAAGTTAAGAATACGTATAAGTTAAGAGTTGATTCATCAAGTTAATTTCTGAGGTTCTATTGTTTCTATGTTCTGAGCTTGAGAACTCAACACACTTGTGTTGTTGGAACAGCTTCGCTTTTTTTTGTGAGAGGTGATGATACTACTTGACCGTCATATCAAAGTAAAAATAAAAAAGTATCAAAGTGGGCAAGTTCAAATTGGAACGTGCTCCTCTATTTATTTATCTGAACACATAAACATTGGCACAAGAGGGTACTATATACATATGCGCCACACATTAACAATAAGGAAAATAGCAGTTGTCATTGATTTGTGTGGCTATGATACTGAACGAGCACCCAAATCGAAGCAGGTATTTTATTAAGGGGCCACACACAGAGCCTTTGACTCAAAGGTTTAATCCATTAATCAGTGGAGCAACTTTAAGATATTCAGTCCTATGGTAGCCAGTGAATACAATAGGTTCATATTGCTTCTTGTTCCCTCAAGATCCCGAAGTCCATGTGAACCATCGGTTTGGAATTAGGGTTTACCAACTTCCCTAGGTTGATCCTTCTCTACGACCAATCCGGTTAAAGCGTCGGACATTCGCTTTTCATCCTTTCAATTCCATAAAAAACAGCCCCATCACGAGAAGGCAGTGATTGGGACTCCCCTTTCAGTGACTGTATATGCGTGACCATGTGAGAGCATTTCGAGAAGGGGAGCTGACTCTCCTCACTCTCGGCTGTCCCAGGGCATTTGGGGGCAACGTGCACCTCAGCGGTTGAAAGTTGAGCGCTTCAACCACCACTATTTCCTTCTGTTATACGGCATTTGTTTCCATACGAAGCTTCTCTGTTAATTGTTCACAGATATGAAAATGGCCCTGCTTTATTTCAGTTTCGAGGTTGTGGGGATTTGCAGCTCAGGAGGATAATTTTATTTAAAAAATGTCAGAGGTTACATAAACACATTTGTTGACCAGTACAGTACTAAGTTAAAGACTAGATAGAGTCAAATAGACTGACGTTTGGCATTACTCCGTAAAGCTATTGGGTGCTGTTTATAGCCGTACACGAAGCCACCGATTTCCTAATTCAGTCTTTTTCCGGCATATTCGTAATCTTCTGTATGGATAGCGAAGCAGTTGCAGTAGTGCAGAAATATTATCTCCACTGGAAACTTACACATGTTACCACATAATATATGACATTTGCTAAGTTCACTCGTCCCATTCCAACTGAATTTGTTATATTTGTTTTTTTTTTCACTACCGCCGATACTATTTCAGATCTCTTACTAACGTTGTTGTTGACCCTCTCTTCCATTAAAATGTTGAATCGGGATCCAATGGTGCTAATATCTAACTCCAACCAAACCTCAGTGGTTTGGAGATTGGACGTTCGCGTGCGAGAACGAAGGTCCTGCGTTCAGCATCCGCGTGCAGGGTCGTGGATGCTCACTGCTTAGGACTCACATACTAGGACGAAACGGCGTCCGGTGCTTCCAGGTTTTCAATTGTGGTTTAACATTGATCGATTCATGATCTGAATCAAATCTGTGATTTGATTTTATATTCGTGGGAACCTGGTAGAATGGATTGTTTGTGGGTCGCTGAGTTCATTAAAATCTTAGCACAAAAAACGTCACTATATACGGGCTGTGAATAGTGAATGTCGTTTATTTTCTCCTCACTTTCTCGTTTTTAATTAGACGACCTTTCCACAGCTTTTTAATCACCCATTCTCGGTATTTGCAAATGAATTATTATCTAGTTCCTTTTATTGACCCATCTGTATGTTGTACTAAACAATCACTTGGTGTAATTCGCACTTATCAAGTACAGATTTATTTACTCGACTTTGAACTATACTTAGAGATAACCAAGATTCGAGCCTGAAATAGACTGGTTGAAAGTCGAGTGCCTTAACCAATATTTCACCGCTTGACATTAAGCTTTCATACTTATTCTAGTAGTATTTTTGTGGAATCTATTTTTATTAGATTGCATGCCGATTATTTTGTGGTCATTAGAGAAAACACAGTTCTGGTTGAATAGTTAAATAACATTTTTTAAATCTATAATCATACGCCTATAAAAATATTTGGCTTTCAGCAATTGATTGAACTGCTTGTTACCTAATTCAGTTTTAGAAACCGAGTCATATTAGCTGTAGCAACAGCAGCGGCATTATTTAAAGTGTGATTTATAGCCAAATACACAAATCTGTACCTGTCTACATCCTTTTTTTTTCTTGTCCTGTAAAAACAATGAAATTTAGTCAAATCATCAATACGTTGTTGAAATATGCATCTTAATTTTCATTTATAAATGCCTAGTTACTCACCTTTCTTTATTATTAAGTCTTCTTGCTTTTTAAATTATTTCATCTCTACCATTTAGTTTAATAATGCTAACAAATCATTGAATAACGCCAAATTAGAACATGAGAAATTAATGGAAATTTATGCCACAAATGAACAATCACTTCGTTGTTTAGAGAAACGTCTTCGTTTCGATATTCAAAAAGCGAAGTGAGTTGTCTTTTTAGATCTGTGGTTTTTTTAGTAGGATCTTTTTTGATGTTTATCAATAAACACTTGAATGAAAGCTTCGAATCCTCAAGTTCTTTTTCTACTGTTTCTTTAAAGTTCTTCACGAATGATACATTTGTCACTTTAAAAACGTCAAGTAATCTTTTCGAAATGTAAACCTGTTTTAATTAAGGATGTTGTTGCTAAACTATTTAGGGCAGTGACGTAACATACGATCCAGTATATACATGTCTTTCGAATGACAAAAAAACCCAAAACGTTGTGTAGAGAAAAAATCGAGGTAGTTTTTATGTCATTTACAATAAAAAAACAATTGTCTTAGGAAACGTATTAACGAATTGATTGGTCCTTCCGGTCTCCCACATTGTCCAAAAATTCCGTGTAAATATATTAATTTTTGCCTTGGTTGTTAGAATGAGCACCGGCCTCATGACTGCTGAAGTACTTCGGCTTTCACCATGAGGTGTTATAATTCTTCTAAATTAAGATCCCTCATCTCCCAGTACAGCATAAATGTTTTAAATTGTTTATTCTGATTAGCGTTTTTTGGCATAATTGTTTTCTATGGAATGAGGTTGCTGAATCCATAGCCAACCGTTCTCTTTTACCCGGTCTTGAAACTGGCAGTAACCCTAGAAGACCCATAGGCTGAGTTAATGACTAAGTATATGATTTATAAAAGTCGAATAACAATATCGGCTTTTCGAAGCCAACCAAAAATTTTACTAAATAAATTTAATTGATTTAAGTAACAAGTTGGTCAAAGGGGCAGAAGCATGAGATCTTAATCCTAACACCAAATGAAATCATTGATTCATATTTCTGATCAGTTTCAACTGAGATTAGTTTCTGATAAAAGTAATTTATGGATTATTATCAAAATTTATAACATGATTATTCTCCTCTTTATTTGTTATTTCTCTAGGCCTTACTACACCATGTATGATCATTTCATGTTGAAAATGGAGGTTAGTTCGTAGTTAGTCATTGTGAATATCTGTTCACTTCACTTGAATTCATTATATCTTCCTAATTAAAGTTACTTATTTTTGTATAATCAATCATGCATTAAAATTATTCCTGATATTATAAATGTAGCTGTACAGTTGTAATTTTCATTGATAAATTTCATCAGTTTAAAAATACCCTGAAAATTTCGAGGTTGGGGAGAATCCGCTCTCCTTCTCAAAATGCTCTCACATGGTCACGCATATACAGTCACTGAAAGGGGAGTCCCAATCACTGCCTTCTCGTGATGGGGCTGTTTTTTATGGAATTGAAGGATGAAAAGCGAATGTCCGACGCTTTAACCGGATTGGTTGTAGAGAAGGATCACCTAGGAAGTTGGTAAACCCTAATTCCAAACCGATGGTTCACATGGACTTCAGGATCTTGAGGGAACAAGAAGCATATGAACCTATTGTATTCACTGGCTACCATAGGACTGAATATCTTAAAGTTGCTCCACTGATTAATGGATTAAACCTTTGAGTCAAAGGCTCTGTGTGTGGCCCCTTAATAAAATTACCTGCTTCAGTTTGGGTGTCCAGTCAGTAACCTAGCCACACAAATCAAATGACTTGTGTGGCACATATTTATTCGATGCCCCTTTGTACCAATGTTTATGTGTTTAAATAAATAAACTGATTATTTCCGTAATTTTTAAATAATACTTTACTATTGAAGTCGGATTAAACTTCTTTATACTTAATCCATTAATTACTTACATCTGTTACCCCTCGTAGATGGGCATAGACCATCTACTAGGATTCATTAAATTAATCTTCATTTAGATACGCAACGTGGCTTGTCCATTTCCCATTTAATTAATACTATATAAACAAATAAAATTGTAAAGAACATTTAAAATACAGTTTTTTTCTACCAATCACTTATCACTCCTTCATTGCAAAATATAACTTCTTGCGTCATAAAGAACTGTTCATTCTCAAAAATATAATTCCGAGAAAAACAAATCAGTAACAATACAATGACTTAATACATTGATAAGTTGCCTATATGATTCTGAATGTAGGGAGTTTTTAGAAACATCTCGAAAGTGGATTAGATAATTATCTATCCTGTTACTATGTTTAGTATGGTTTCGGGAATTTCCACAAGCTCAAGGTCATCTGAAATACTGTAAATACCCTCAGAGATTTTTGTACATAAACAAACCTTGAAGTAAAGCGTTCATCCAACATTTCACGCCTTTCTTCCTGTATTCAAACTATCGTTTAGTTTCAGCCTGAAATTAGTAAAAAAAAAGCTTAGGAAACTGATTCAATCGTTTAGTTAAAAGCTTTATCAATTCAGTTTTGTGTATCTGAAATATTTAGTATACACTGCGAAGAAGAATCTCAAATTTGGAATATGACATCTCTATAGCATTAGTTAGTTTCTGATGCTTATTATTAACTTATTATTTTCATGATTTTTCTTTGTTTTTAAACGAATATTCGATAATATATACTAATTGATAAAATACATCCCTTTTTGCTTATTTCTATCTCTTTGAGATATTCTAATCGGAAGTTTATTTATTAGATGTTATACAATTTTGTTCTCTCTCTAAGCCTAAGTCACTTTTCGTCAATATTCATTCCATTCAGTAATGTTCGATAGTTTAAAGTGAAATGGTAATTAAAAAAAACTCTTTCATTCATACTCTCAATTTCGTTGGTTTATATGCATAAATAATTGTGCTTATCACTGAATTGAATTTGAATATAGTCCGCGTCTTAACTCAGTCATTAAAGTCACTGACTTCTAGTCTGAGCCATGTTTGTAGATGCAGACTACTTAGTTGCGGTCCGTGTGACTATCGTAACCAATGATTGGAGACTCTGGGTGACATGGCCTAGAATCGATCACAATGGTATAGGTCTATACAATCTCTGTCTTCCCTTAAACTATGAGATTAAAATTAGTCTATGCCTTTCTTTCTGCAAACTAATTTCTTCCTGTATCATATTCTTATATCCAATCTTTCTTTTGTATATTGCTACGATTGAAGTAACTATTTCTATGAATTTGGTGTTCGTCTTGTTGTGCTAATAAGGTATAGCAACTTGGACCGATGAATATATGTACCTGGTTCTACGTTGTAACTGGCTGACTGAATCGTCTTTAATCAGATTTATTACGATGATGTTAAGATTTCGTGTTTTGACTATAACAAATTCTTTTATTAGTCAATAAAACACTTTTCTAAACTTAACTATGTATCACTATTTTCTCATGACCAAAAAACAAAAACATACAGTTTCATAGAGAATATCGGTAAGATAGTTTGCAGTGTACGGTGTGTTAAAGCTAACCGTCATGAAATTATTCATTCCCACATATTCATCCTACTATCCATATAATCATCTCATTGTTTTGTGTTGTATTTTTTTCCTGCTTTTTCATCCCTGATAAATCTCTATAAAACAACAAAAACGAGAAAACTATTTGTTTCATGTAAAACTTATCAATTGTTCCCTTAATCATTTTATGGATAGAAATGACACTGGAAACTGTAGTTCTTATTTTGTTCTATTAAAGTTATGTACACAATATCATACGGTTGTTATGATAACAAATAGATTTCTACTAGATGAATAGTCAGATTATCTTTCGAGTTGACTGTTTTTCCGATGAGTAGTGATTTCAGCTTTCTTTTTTAAAAAAAATCTTATCGTAACTATAGAAGAATCAGTGAATTGTTGATTATTTCAGAAATTCTTGGTTATGCTTAAATGATGTTTAGAAATAATAATTCAGGAAAATCAAGCATGTTTCAGATCTAGACGTTAGTTTTATTCTTTTTGAAATTCTAAAATACTGGCTTATATTATAAATATGCAACTATAACTGTTCACTAAAAGAGGTATCTATGAGATAGTATCAAACTATTGTAGTCGAGATTTCTTGTCGTATTACACTTAACATGTTATGGTGTATCCACTTAAGGCATTTGGCAAACCCTGATTCCAAACCAATGGTGCATATGGGCTTCAGGATGTTGAGGGAACAAAAGACGTATGAGCCTATTTTCGATCACTGGCTACGATGGGACTGTATCTCCTGATGTTGCTGTACTGCCTTGTGGATTAGACTTTTAGGTCAAGGGCTCTGGATGTTGTACTTTAATAAAACAACTTGCTTCAGTTTGGGCATCCTGGTGGTATTCTAACCCCCACACAAATCGAATAATTTATGAGGTGCATGTGTATTTGGTGCCCCTTTGTACCAATATTTATGTGTTCAAATAAATAATAGATAGATAGCGTCTAAATTCGAGACATAAAGTAATAATTATCGGCATACCTTATGCTGTTCATTTTTGTGTTTAATCCCTTCTGAGGTCACGTTCTGTAAGGTGTAATAATTTGCTCTGTTAACTTCCTTTTGTTTCTGGAATACATAGTTAATATAGTTTTGTTTATTGAAAATTTTGATTTAATACTATCTGGTTAATGTCGAAAATATTTGAATTCAGCTTTTCACTAATCCGCATCTATTCGTAATTAGCCGTTTGATGTAACCTAGGTGTATAGATTACCTCTGATTAGTTAGTGATTAGATAAATCTCAGCATTAATTTATAATTCAACTGACTTTTTGTAAGTTATGTTATGTTATATATGATGAAGTTGCTGTTCCTTACTGGTTGCTTAAATGGAAATAATCCATTATAAACTATATCCTTTTTAAGTAAATAATGTTTGTAGATTGCTGAAAGTTCAGTTCGACAAAACCACTCAGTTAATTTAAAGTTAGGTATATCTATAAGTCTAAGTACAGCCTCTGTGCCATGAACTCATGAACATAATTTCGTTTGGTTCGCTAAAGATGAACAAAACGCTAATGCAAAATTCCATCGTAGGTTAACTCGATCATCTTGAATCGTTTTTGTCTAGTTTTGAGTGATTTTTCAGAATCATTTACAAATTTTATTCAAATCATTTAATATAGTTGTAATTGTAAGGAGGTTTATACTAACAATACTATTTGGTGTTCTAAAGAAATACATATAACATTTGATCTTTACTATGTTCCTAGGATGAAAAAGTAACATTATATAATATTCAACAAAGAATTAGCACACATTGAAGAGTGTCTTATAAAAAGTGAATATCCAAAGATTATTGATTATGAAGTTCAAAAAGTTACAAGTAAACAGTTGTTAATAAAGAAACGTATCTTCGTCAGTATAGGGGTTGTGAAGATTATTAAATTTTTGATTGAGATCATGAACCGATTGACGTTAGACTACTATTGGAAACTTTTAAGCACTAGACGGCCGTTTCGTCCTATTGTGAGATTCCTCACCAGTGCGCATCCATGTCAGATATAGACAGATATCTATCTCAGTACAATGAAAGATGGTCACGCAATTTCGTCGATTGGTCGAGGTTAGACATTAACACTGTTGGATGCCGTTTCAGTAGTCTAGAGGCTGTGTTCGTAAGCGAGACCAAAGGCCCTGGGTTCAAATCCCGCGAGCGGGATCGTGGATGTGCACGGCTAAGGAGTCTCACAATAGCACAAAACGACCGTCCAGTGCTTCCAGATTTTCAATGGTGGTCTACAGTCAATCGGTTCATGATTTCAATCAATTATCTACGTGAGTCTTGCATTCAGAGGGGATGTCTCAGATAGAATTAATAAAATGATTAAAGCAGTGCTAAATGAAAGTTTCGGTTCAGTTAAATTATTTTCAGTGTATAACACCAGATATTCCTTTAAATCTATCAAAAGTGGATCTATACCTTTTTGAGGTCACCCCCCTAATGTATTTAAGAATTTACATGTGCTTGTAGATAGAAGTATGCAAGGAGAAATAAAAGAAAAGGATCAACATGGTTTCGTGAACATTTTCCTCAAGGGCTGTGTTTGGAAGGAAGTAAAGTATTCACAGATGTGATCACTAAATATTTGATGGATAGTAGACATAATGAGTATCTCCTAAGGTGATTCGAAAT